CAGTCACTTCCCAACCTCTGGTCTATTCCTTTGTTTAGGGAGGAAAAAGAAAGATATCAAATGTCCCAGTCACTTTTACCTTTTCCCAGAAATAGAAGCTAATAAAGGAACCAGAAATTGCACATATATCAAATGCTCTGCTTCTTAGGAGTATCAAGGGCAAATAAAAGTTAAGATTCAATGTTCTTGAATCTCCAGTTCCCATTTACAGTGTGAAACATGAGGCTCAGAGTTGATAAGTGTATTGTTATTAAATGGTAAACGGTAGAGTCAGAACTCAAATCTTGGTTTTCAGTTTCTGAATCATCTGTGTGTTCCAACATGCGCACCACTTCCCCTCTGGGATGAAGGAACTCAAAAGAAAAGAAATACTGCTAGTGACAAAGAAAATACCATCAAGTTCCATATTCTGCTTCTAACAATCACTCCCATCCATTGTCCTTGGGTGTGAGTTGATCTCTGTTTCAGAATAATCTAAGTAAATTAAAGCTACCAGCTGTCCTCTGCCCATCTGGACCCTCCCAGAGGCTTGCCCTCTGTGCTGCCTCATCAGATACCTTCCCTGTTCCAGGGTGAACGCAAAGGCTGGCCTTCCCTTGGCACATTTATCTTCAACCCCCAGTGAACAAGCAGAGCACACAGTAGACTAACTCATTTATTTCTACTCATTTATTGATGGCCTTTCATAACCGAGTTATTAAGTCATCAATAACTTCAGAGAAATAAATGAGCAGATCCAGAATGGGGCCAACAGATATTTAAGATACCCACTGAAAATTTTATCTAGGATCAGCAGAAAAGTCAATGCTGGGTCATCAGCGGCATTTCCCTCACCTGGGAAAACATGGTCTGTGTTTTATTCTAATTAAAACCCAGCCTGTTTCTTTACAAACTAGTAAAATGAATAACATCTCCAATGTCCCAAATAAAATAAAGTTTGAAAAAAGATTACCTTTGTTAAAATTTTTCCAAAGTACTACCTAATATGTGTTGCTCTTATCAGCTGTCAAAAAAATATTTCTGAAAGTTTTGCCATTTCAGAAAGTTCTGAAAGTATAAGATCTTTCACGAGTGCTTGTGGGTTCTGGTATATTCCCCTCAGAAAATAAAATACAAACGATCTGGAAAGGGGAAAGAAGGGCAGAGAAGGCTTCTAAGACCTTGGAAAACCCTTGAAACCCAGATCCAGGAGTCTGGAGAAATTCCTCACACAGACATTGAGTTTCTGTAGGGACACTTTTTACAGCCATCACACTTTACCCAGATGGTGGCAATCATGCATTTTCATTATGTTTTGGGGTGTAGGTAGCTGCTCTGTGTCAACCTACAAGATCACCCCAAAATCCTGACCTCATCTCCCTGTTCAGAGGTTTCTTTGCCTTAGATTGCTCTCCATTTATATGCTGGGACCCCATCTAGATGAGAGGAATCTTGGCTGCTGAGGGGTCACAAACATGCTTGGAAGCCTCCCTGTGCCTCAGTTTCCTCATCTGTCACATAGGAATAATAATAGAACATACTTCATCAAATTTTTATAGTTATTAGAAGAATTAATACATGAAAAGCACTTGAAATAGTGTCTGGCACATGGTGAGTGTTCAAGAAATGTCAGCTGTTTTTGTTGTTGTTCTCATTAATAAAAAAAAAAACAATGTTTTCCATAAAATTAGGACCTTGGAGTCCAGCTAGTTCCAATTTCCTCAATTCATTTTGCAGACAAAGAAACTTCAGCCCAGTAACTTATACAATGCCTGTGTTCTCCAGAGTTTAAAGACGAAGTGAGATAACTCACAGAAAAAACCCTTATCTTTGGAGTCCCGTAGTCTCCCATTCAAATTCCCACTCTGTCACTTGCTAGCCCGAGACTTTGGGCTCCTCTCATCCCTTCTCTGAACCTCTCTAGGTCCTCATCTGTAAACTAGATATAACATGACCACCTTGCTAGAATGTTTTGAAAACTGAAAAACAATGACTGAAAAAGTTAATGACTGTGACTACCGTGCTGCCAAGGAATTCAGGAGCATTCAGTAGCTGGGGACTGCCGTTCTCACAGTCATTCAGCGGGACAGAGAGTGTGTTACACCTGGACCCCCAGACCCCTGACTGCCAGCCAAGCTCACCACCACACACCGTTATTTAAAAACAAACAACCAAACCAAACCATGAATTTGCTTACACTACTTTCTCTCCGTTTTCTTCAATGACTATCTTGTCATCGGTGGATGTTATCGGCTATCAAAAACTCCCTGTGCCTGCTGATGTATGATAAGGTTTTGTAAGCTTTTCATTCTTCAAAAAAAAAAAAAAAAAAAAAAAAAAAAAGGAAAAAGAGAGAGGCAACTCCCACTGCTGGTCCAAAGTTTTCCCAACTTCTTTGGCTTGGGGTGAGCGGTTTTATTCTGCCAGCTTGAGCCCCAACAGTCTGTGTCTGCAGAAACAACCTTGCAGATGTTACAAAATAATAAAGAGAACACTATGTGTGTAATTTCTTTGCAGTGATCTTGCAAACCTGACGCCTTTGTTGGAATAGAAATGGCTAGAGAAAGGTTCAGGGAAGGACAGAAATTGAACTGACACTCTGGTTTCCTTTTTGGGCGAACGCAATGAATAAATTCTAACTCTAGATAACAAGGCATGGTACTCAGGCCTATCAGAAAACAGATTTTTAAAACTTAACCGCCATGAAAAGATCACATATGTCCCACAGTGGTTCCTCTTAAAGATTTTACAATGCTCATTTATAAATGAAAGGCTCTGAGAAGCCCTGTTATTAAGAAACCTTTCTAACACTATCAAAACCATTGTTTCCTGAATGATGAGCACAAAATTTCCATCAACACCAAGTAGGACAGTGGCATTCTAGGAACACCATTCAGGAAACTATACAAGTTTTGAAGTCAGGGATCTTAAAACAACCAATGAGAAGAGCTTCCAGAATGGGTTTTAATTTTATTGTGAGTCTCTCTACTTCAGCCATTTTAGACAAAGGATACACACTTTTGCTTTCTTACATTTTGCTTTCTTGTATTTCCATTTTATTTGTGGGGGCTGGAACTATAGCATCTGCTGATATCATGTGTTTTAGAGAGCAGAACAGAGCTCTTTATCATTAGCCATCAATGCAATTGTCTGGGAATGGGGAAAAAAGTAAATAAAATAAAATGAAAGCAAATCCACCTGGGTTCATGTAAAGGCTATCTCCAGAGCAGCCAGAGGATTGCCTTGTCTTCCACATGGTAATTTCTTGAGAGCATTCACATTGTTACTGGGCTGTGAACAAATGTTACAATTTGGGGATGGAGACTGTGAGCCCAAACAAAGCAATGAAGTCTGTGTACAGATATATAAATGCTTTTAATGATGAAGAAAGTTATAACCGAATGAAGCCTAGAATTCCCCTTTCTTGATTTGCAAAATGGGATACACAAAAGAAGTAAAAATGCCACTGGATCTCCTCCCGACCACACTGCAATGCTCATTATCATCCGTCTGTAAGGGTCACAAATTTTTCACCTTCTTTCCTTTTTTCTCACAGTTCATCCTCTACTTTCACATAAATACACATCAGATGCTTTCTCTTCTTCTTTCTTGTTGTTGTTGTTTAGTTTTTATTTCATAATTATGAACTTAACTCTGCAATCTAGCTCTTGGAGGGGAATAAGGAAAATATGGAACCATAGACCTACAGTGAGATCACAAAGATTATAGGCTATTTTGAGCAGATCGGGGTGAAGTGAGCTCTCTTGAGCTACAGAAAGAATGGTCTGGTAGTTAAGATAACACACAAGTCAAATGTATTAGATTTGTCCACAGTCAGCAATGGTGATCTTCTTGCTGGTCTTGCCATTCCTAAACCCAAACCCATCCATGCTTCCACAATATTCATGCCCTCTTTCACTTTGCCAAAGACCACATGCCAACCAGCCAACTACTCCATCCTGGCTGTGCAGATGAGAAACTGGGAACTGTTTGGGTTGCGTCCAGCATTTGCCACGGACAAGATGCCCAGACCCATGTGCTTCAGGATGAAATCCTCATCATAAACTTTGTCCCTACAGATGGACCTGCCCCCAGTTCCATGATGGTGTGTGAGGTCACCACACTAACACAGAAATCCTGGAATAATCCTGCAAAAGCAGGAATCTTTATAACCACATCCTTTCTCTCCAGTGCTCAGAGCATGAAAGTTCTCCACTGTCTTGACACTTTGTCTGCTAATAACTTGGAGGAGACAGGGCTCAAAGGCTTGCCGTCCATGATGGTGTCAAAGAACACAGTGAGCTTGACCGTGGTTGATAACTCAGGCAGCTCTGGGGCAGTGATGTCAGCAAGGCTGAATGCTTTCTCCTTTAATTCCTTATCTTCCTCCCTCCCACTTCAGCTCTTTCGGAAAAAAAAAAAAAAATAGAAAACACATTTAATTATTACAGGCTTTCTATAAAGAATATTTATTTCAAGACTTAAAAAGAGAAAGGTATCGAAAGATATCAAAAATTAAGCATAGCCTGTGGCAGAGAGGAAAAATAAAATGAATGAAAACTAGCTTAACAATTATTGGACTATTATTATCCCTTTAGACTTGACCTTTTGGTAAGTCATAAATAAATACCATCCAAATTTGACAGAAGTAAACAGCAAAAATCATGCAACAGCAATCTGACAGAAATATCACTTTTATTGATGTCAAAAAAGTGGCATTTCTTAGCTGTTTAATAAAATAGGGATTATGAAGAAAAGTAAATGTTGAATTATGCCACACGAGTCTCATCCACTTGGCAAGACCTATGAGCTAATTTGCTTGGCAGCTGCTTCGCCATTTAGATAAAAATGCCTAGAACCTAGAAAGTTGTGTTTTTTTTTAATGTGGTTAAATTTAATTTGATTTGACATGTATTTTATAGTGAAAATACATAAATATATTCTATACTAATGTTGACTGCATAAATCAATATTTTATATTGATTATTGACCTGATACCTTTTTCTACTGTCTTTCTCCAGGAAGCAAATAACTTGGATAAAAACACAACCAAAACAGAGAGTGCTTGGCTCTTCAGAATGTGGTACAGCTTTGATCACAAGTATCCTTTGATAATGTTGATCTCCCAGATCCTGCTGCCCAACAGAGATGAACTTCAGGCACTTAGTCACTGAGCTGTACGCTCCTGCTCGTCAAGCAACACAGAAAGGTAAAGTGAATTCGTGACCAAATTTATCAAAAAAAAAAAAAAAGCTGCATAGTCCATACTTAAGTGTTACAAAGAGCTAATGCGAAATCTCTCAAGGTCCAATGAACTTGGTGTATTCATGGCAATCTAACATTTCCTAAATGCCAGATGATAAAAATCTTACAGTCCTAAGGACTGGTCTATTTTTCTAATTTTACTATTCTTCCCTTTGCAAAGATCTTACTTCTGGTCGAGTTGGCCAAGGTAACTGGATAAAAATCCTTCATCTTTCTCCAAGAAACCCATGTGTGTGCTCTTGTTTCATGCTGTAAAAAAATGGAGTGGGGCTGAGGGCAAAGGAAGTGAATGGTCTGAGAAGAAGAATGAATCTGATCACCTCATTATAAAATAACATTACTTTATTTTCTAGGCAGATTAGAGTAAGCTCTTCCTAGAGAAGGCCAGTTTTAAAATTCTACCAATCAGGGTAAACATAATAGCTCAGATACACCTTGCCATGTGAATGACATGGCTGAGGAATCAGGCCTGAAAGGCTTTGCCATTGTGAGGGGCAGTAAGTGGTCCATCTCTAATCCCAAGCAAAAGCACCACGGAAGAAAGGAAAGAACCATGCTGAAAATTGAATGTGTCGGGTCTTTGTAACTAGTTTTCCATACTCACAAATCTTCCTCCTTTCAAGGAGAAAATGTCAGTCACTGTGTGATTTTAAAGCACCAAAGCAATGATTAAAACCACAACAGATCAGTGGGAGAGGAAGCATTAAGAACAGTGAAAAGAAATTCAATGAATAAGGTGAAGAAGAGGTAAAATGGAAAGGGGAGAGGAGGCAAAAGAAATACAGGAAATTCACAGTAGGAAGGAAAGGAAGGCAAATTGGAGGAATGGCTATGTAAGAAAAAAAATTAAATGAGACTGAAGAGAAGCCAGTTGAAGATTGCCGAGATAAGCCAAAGGAAAACAGGTGAGAATTTAAAGAGAAATTCTGCAGAGGTAGAGCATTCCAAGAATTACAAAATGGACATGTGGAAAGTAGAGGGTTTTGGAGCCTATGGTTTTGTTTTCCCACAGCCCTGCCGTCTATGGATAGATATCTTGCCTTGCTCAGTCTTGAGCCTTTATGGACATGTACGTTTCCACTGCCTTTAAAGCCCTGCCTCTTGGTCATTAACTACCTCTTGGAGGTTCTGGTATCTCATTAACTGCACATGACCTTCCTGGTCTCTCTAAGGGAAGCTGGTTCTTAGCAGGTCATGCTGCTTTATGTTCCAGGTTGATTTCTCATCTAGAAACACAATTTTCTCCTGCCATTGCTTAAAGTATCTGCTAACCAAATTTTGGTAAGTTATAAAAATTTGACTGGAGAGTACACAAAAGGCTGCTTGATTATGAAAGACATACAGTAAGAAAATGTCTTTTTTGGGTTCCTGGATCTAATTTGCAAGCTCCCAAAACTGTTACTCATGTGTCTGACCCACTGGCTATAGACTGGAGGTCCTCATGACCTCCTCTCTGGAGGAGTGGCCCAGAACTCAGGGAAATGTTTTATTACTAGATCAATGGTTTATTATAGAAGAATAAGAGATGCACAGGGCAAGGTATGTGGGAAAGGTCATCTAGCTTTCATGTCCTCTCAAAGTGCACACTCTGCCCAAATCTCCACACGTTCACAAACCAGAAAGCTCTCTGAACCCAGTCCTTTAAGGGGTTTTGTGGAGGCTTCATTATATGGGCATGATTGATTAAGTCATTGACTATTGGTGATTGAACTCCATCTCTAATCCCTCTCCCTTCCCAGAGGAGGATGAGGGTGGGGGGAAGAAATTTCCAGCCCTCAAGTCCAGGTTGGTGCTCCTGGCAAGTAGCCCCCATCTTAGGTAGGTTCCCAAGGCCACTCATTAACATAACAAAGGATACTTTTGTTGCTCTCATTACTTGGGAAATTCTGAGATTTTAGGAGCTCTGTGAAAGACCAAATCTGTATGTTTTATTATAAATCATAATAACACAAAATGGTAAATCAGAAATGAGATGAAAAATGTTTTTGCTCAAACTCTAACAATGCTGTGAGGAATGCTTTATAAGGAAGAAAGGGAGTAAAAGTGAAAAAAATAACTTGGAGACCAAAAAGGAAAGTGGAAACTCACCCAAATTTTTAGCTTAGAGCAGTGACACTAAATTCAGATGATATCATAGTTTTTGTCTCACTTTTCACCAGGGGTTTATTTCCATATGATTATGGACAGACTTGCAAAAAAATGAAAGCAGATTTACCCTGTCAGTAATATCTCTTCTCATGGTAATCTGTCCTCCTGTGCATTCATTCTAGAAATTGTGTGCTATCATCACTGCACAAATATATTTTCACTTAGACCACAGTTTTTATATCCCAGTTATGCTCTGAATTCATTCCCAGAGAGTAGCAAACCAACCCATTTCTACTTTGTGACCTCTTGATATATCTGTATTTCCAGAGACAAATTATCCACTTGGCATTTGTGTTCTTTCTGCTGTTCTCCTAGAGCCCACCTATGTGCCCCTCGAACCGCCTAGGTAGGCTGCTCCAGTCACTGGCAGCGTAGGGATGATCCCCACCTCAGGGTCAGGTTTCCTGGCCTAGGCCAAAAAGAAGTTGTTACAAAGCTGAAAAAACTGACTATGCAGTTCGGGGCTGTTTGAGTTTCACTTCCATAAAATTGCATCATGCAAATGAGGCATCATAAAGAATTACTGACAGAAGGAAAAGAAGAATAAATAAGCCTTCATGTGCACCTCTATCAGTCAGGATTCTCCAGGGCAACGGAAACAGAACCAGGAGGAGTACACACACATGCGCACACGCACACACATGCATAGCTAGTCGTACCCATACACATACGCTTATATAGATTTATTCCAAGGAATTGGCTTTATGCAAGTGCAGCATCTGTAGGACAGGCTCTCAGTCTGGAAACTCACAGGCAGGAGTTGATGCTGCAGTCTTGAGGCAGAATTCTTTCTCCCTTAACGAAACCTCAGTTTTGCTCTTAAGGTCACCCAACTGACTGGATGAGGCCCACCCACATTACTAGGATTATCTCCTTAAAGTCAACTGATTGGTGACAAGATGGTGTCACACCCACTGAATAATTACGTAGACCAGCCAACTACTGGGTAGACACATAAAACCAAGAATCACAGTACTCAATTTGCATTCAATATAGGCCCCAAACTGAGACCCTAGAAAGACCCTCTTAGTTCACCATTGGTATCAATAAAACAAGCCACTGTTGCTTGGATAGTTTTGTTTTCTTTTTTATTTTTCCATAACATAATTAAGACACATATACATTTCCATAACATTTTCCCCAAAACTACAGGGAAATAAAAATAATAAAAATTAACATTCAATGAATAATGGCCCAAGTACTGTGTTGAATGCTTTACATTTATAATTTCATTTTACCTCCACAGCTCTGTGGGAGGTTGGGAGGGGCTAGAGACTATGTATGATGCAACCCAGATGCAATTGCTGATTGTGTGCGCCTTTCCTGAAACAACCTGGTCTCTGTTGTTCAAGAGCCTTGTTGGAAGCCTATGGTGCCAAAATTGAGGGTTCATTAAGATGTCATTGTGATTCGACATGGGCAGCAGTTCTGAGTCGTGCAGTGCAAAGGAGCAATTGAGAAGGGGAGAGAAGGGAAACTATGTTACTGACCACTGATGCTTTGCCTTCTGGGACATCACTTCACTCAATCCTCCTCACCACCCTTTTTGTTTTATTTCATTTTACAACCACCCACTTTGAGATGGAAGAAACAAAGTCTCAGAGAACCTGAAGAACTTTGTTAAGGTTCTATAGGTAGTGTCAGTTCCCTGATTCAAGCCCAGATCTCTCAATGTAAAGTCCATAAATAAACTCAAACAAATCGTATCATTGATAACTCTGTATCAAGTATATCCCTCACTTTACACATAAAACCCCATCTTGATATGTTCATAAAGTCACTATTAAAACAATGACTATTATGACCGCTTACATTGTGTAGTATAGAGCTCACATCTCAAACACCTGTTGAAGATACATGGAATGATAAAGTTAGGAGTCCTGGTTGGTCACACTAAGAACACCACCATAAATGAGTCCCCAGGTTTCTGAGTCAGGTCCTCACATTTTTAAACATGCCAAAGACTCCAAGAATGGTATAGGTTCATAGGGATGGGTATGCCTCAGCCAAGCTCAAAGGAGGTACAAGTATCAACCAGACACCAAATTCCTAAATCATGGAATATCCTTTCTCCATGAGAAGGTTTGAGTCACAGTCTGGCCTCTCATGGCACTCTGTATCCATCTTCTAATCTCACCCCCTGGTTGATCTGCTCCAGCCACCCTGGCCTTCCTGAAATACAACAAGCTTATCCTTACTTCCAGGCCTTTGCACTGACTCTTCCCACTGCTTGGGATGTTGTCCCCTCAGACATTCACTTGCGTCCTTCCTTCACCTCTTTCATTCAATTGACCGGTGAGATCTTCTTGGCTCCGTATTTAAATTAGCAGTCCCAACAAGAACGCTCCCTCAGCCCTCATTTGCTTCATTTTTCCCCATAACACTTATCACCATCTGACACAATATGTAGTTTATTTATTTGTTTAAATGGTCTCCTCCAACCAGGATATGTGCTTTCTTAGAACAAGGATGTGAGTCTGTTCTCATTCACTGGTGTGCCTGGCACATAGTGGATATTCAGTAAATATTTATCGAACAAATGAATGGGTAGACAGATGGATGAATGGATGAATGAATGAACGAATGAATGAAGCAAGTCAATAAGCAATATTTTCTATTCAGGGCACTTTCATTCTAGACAATGATGTAGCAGGAAAATCCAAATAACTTATTTGAAGTGAGTTTGAA